GAAGAGGTGGAGGAGGAAGAATAATCTTTAATAAAAAATTATCTTCGCTTTCTACAGTAAAATTTGGCCGGGTTGGTAGTAAGAGGTAGTTCATTATGTTGATTTGATATTTAACTTTCTTGTCGAGATATCTCATTTAGATAAAAAAGAAGAAAGCATATGAGCCGTTATATTTGTAGGGACCATTTGATTGAAAAGCTAAGGTTACATAGGTAAAAAGTTTTTTTTAGTCAAAATATTTTCTCTGTCTCTTTTACATGTCTCCAAAAAGAATCCTCATGCTCAAATAGATAACAATGCTTATAGAATTTAAAGATTGTTTAATTACCAGTTCTAAGTAATAAATATACTCTTTGATCCAATTTAAATTTGGTTGGAAACTTTTTGAATTGTTTCTAATTAACTCTATGAAACCTTTACAATAGTATGATTAGTGAGTCTTAGTAAGAACACATATGTGCATTAGTGCAGAAAGGTTTAGTTTTTAAATAGTAAAACTATTTGATCAATGAGAACAAAACAATCGGAGAGAGAGCAATTGAAAGGCCTAGGATATCATTGGGTCAGCTTCTCAGTTAAAGGCACAAGCTAATGTCTCCCACAAGGCCACAAGGACTAATATGATCAATGCTTGCACAAAATTTTCTAGAAAGGAGAAAGTTTGGGTTCATTTGCCTCTTGCTTATTTTAGCTAAGCAAAACAAGAGGTAGAAGAATCGGAGGCAGGCATGGAGTCTACAGAGGAACTGTAGGGCACTAGTTGTGTAGTTTTATAAAGCTTCATCATCATATCTAGACAATAGGTCTTTTATTGTGGGAAATTTGTATAAAACTCCAAAATTGTGAACTTTTTAGTCAAAAAGAACAACATGCAAACAAGTTCATTGATTTATCTTATTTATAAAATAAGGGCACTTAATTATGATCCATCGCTGGTCTCGTTCCGTGATGAAAAACACTGTTGGGAAGCGGTGTTAAAAATGAAGATCCTCGACTTCCATAGGGCTTACAAGTTGATGAATTTCTTGATTGGATACATATAGTGGATGACATTTTAGGAGTTAAAGATGTCACAAATTCTCAGTGTGTTCCATAAATTTTCATCCACCTTAATGGTAGCACTCAAACATGGTAGCAACAAACAAGGGTTCTGCAGGTGCGTATGGGTAAGTCCAAGATTGCTTTTTGACTCAAATTCAAAAAACATATGAAGGCCGCCCTCTTGTCATGAAAGCATGAACTTGAACTTTATCAACATTTTCAGAATCTTCAGCAATGTTGGTGTCTGTAGTTAAGTTCATCTCGGATGGGTGACCTCTTAGGAAGTTACACAAACAGGATAAAACTATGAGGCCCTTAGGCAAAAGATGACAATATCTCGATAATTATGAGCTTGGGTTGTTATGGCTAGTGCTCCATAAGTACTTAAACCTTTTATTAATTGCTTACTATAACGTACATTCAAACATCTCTGCCTCAAATTGTATCTTCCTACATGGGTGGACTCCACGTCCAATTCCAAGATGTTTTAAACATGTTTGATATAGTATCCATCGCAGAAGCACGCAACATGCTCTATAGGTTGAAATGCATCTTAATTGGTGTTGTCTAGGTTACTTTTAGAGCATTGCGCCTCCTTTACCAAATTTTAATTGGTGTTGTTTCGGTTCCTTTTAGAGATTGTGAAACTCATTAAGTAAAAGTGCTCATCTCAGAGGAATTCTATGATGAGTGACATATTAGAAAGTTACACCAACAATGACAAAATCGTGAGGCTCTTACGCCAAAGCGGATAATGTCTCAATAGTTAAGAGTTTGGACTGTTACATTTACTTTATCTCCAATCTATAAATAGAGCCCTAAGGGTTGTTGGTTGCAATTTAGGGAAATCACTATCCCCACCCGAGCACTGCAACAATGACAAAATCCGAGCACTGCAACTCGTTGTTTCCAAGCACCTCGGTGCTGCAAAGTTTGTTGGGAGAAATGACAAAGAGCATAGCACCGTAGTGCTTTAAATTCGACATAGTAGCACCGTCAGATGGATCAATGATAGAGATTTGAGTACTGCAGCACTTCAAACTAGTGACCCAGCACTTCAAGGTAGACTGGAAAGTTTTCTTTCTTATTTTTCTTATGAGTGGCATCCCTTGATGTTATTAATTTTCTCTTTTGTTTTGTGTGTTAAATCCTATGATGCACATACACGAACACGGCGACACGGATACGACACGACACGGACACGGGGCACGTCAGTTATTGAAAAAATAGGACACGGACACGGGTTGGACACATTATTATAGTTTTTATATTTAAAAAATAGTGTATAAAAATTAAATAAGTATACTTTTAAAAATAATTTGAAAATAATAAGAATTTGTGCTTAAAATGATTAGTATTAGGATGTCGAGGTCAGGCGTCGATGTCGTTTATCAGTCACCGAGAGAGAAGATTAAAATACTTTCACTGTCAAAAAGAAATGAAAATGAGAATATTCGATGATTGGGTATTAAATGTGGATGTTGATTTGATGTTGTAGATAGAAAATAAGAGATTTACTTTAAATCCCTCCAAATACAAAAAATATATTTTAAAAAAATTCATAAAATATTTAAGATACGCGTGTCCAATATGTATTTAATATTTTTTAATCGGACACGTTTTCGACGTGTCCGACACGTGTCGGATGAGTGTCAGACGAGTGTCGTGTCGGACACGGTGTCGAACACTGCACGCCTCTTTGAGGAGAAGTGTCGGTGCATCATAGGATAAAACGGTGTAAGAGTAAAGAGAAGCAAGGTGAGAGCAAGAGAGATGAGAGATTTGTATAAATTTCACCCAATTTTTATAGTGAATTTCTTGATATGATGTAATGTTGCTCCATAATTTTTTTTCTAGATTTTGAATTTTTCCACATTAAATTCTAGTGCCCTCTTTTTTCCATTGCTTTTTATTTCTTATTTTGTGTTCGTATCATGATTGACTTTCACATCCCCAACAATTAGCTGTTTTAGCATAAATTTATTTTATATATACTGATAATGAAGCTTCGAAGTATATATACCAACTAAGCTAAAGCCATATTTCACCTTCGTCATCAAACATCAGATAGGTGCGCTGAACAGGGTAGTCGATGCAACGATTTGATGCCATTCTTACCTGGTCTAGGAGAAATGCGACACAGTCCAACACCTTTTTAGCCATTGATCCTCAACTTTTCTATTATCCTGCAGCAGCTATATGGTTTTCTACTTCTTGATAAAGGTCTAGAGCTTTACATTCTAGCTAGATTATTGTCTTTGCACATAAATCATTCATTTGGCGGAATCTTTTTTTTTAATCCTTTCCTGCGGCAGAAAAAAGTTCACAAATTTATTATTCGTTGTTATATTTTCCACATCGCTGAAGGTTTCCGAACTGTACACTGCCCCCTACCAATGCCAACCCAACCGTGGACTGACAGTAGCATGGGCTTCGTGCTTGGCCTTCACAGCTATGATTTAGCAAAACTTAAGGCCTGTCCTGATAAGAAACGTCGCCACTTGGAATTTCAAGTTGACGACCTTGTTTGGATGGTTCTTACCAAGCGCTGGTTTTACGCATGAGTTCAACGAGCAGGCGGCTCTATAAGTTGGTCACGTTGTTGAAAATTGTTAAGAAAAGTAATCCTGATCCTTATCATCTTCAGCTGACATGCACTTTAATTATATCCATACCTTCAACGTTTTCAATATTAGGCATGCATCTCAATCCTTTTGTGCCTAAACATGACTTTAAGCATCCCCTATCAGCAAAGGGTGGAGTCAAAATTTTTTATTAGTGAGAACATAAATTAATAATTTTTAAAATACTTATATATATATATATAATTAAAGTAATATTTAGAATTTAATTAATAATTTAAATAAAAAAGTAAAAGCTTACGATTTGATGATTATGTTGTCTAATGGATGAAAGGCTGCTTAATGGAGCAAGAAGTGCCAGATTCAATCCTCAACATTAAATTGTTTTATTTTTAAATTTAAAATCAACTATTATGTGAGTTGTAGACTACTATTATGTGAGTTGTAGACTTGTAGGTGTTGTGTGACGTACTACATAACAAGCCTCATTGTAGGTTTTAACTTTTAAAATCAACTATGATCCTGCCAACCAAACAAATATGTCTATGTTGATTATTGTAACTCCCACCATGTAATGCGTTCTATATGATGTGCATTTGTGACATCAAGCCATGGTCTTCACTCAAGGAAGGGACTCATTTGTAATAAACTATAAATACTAGTGGATTCCTTCAAACTTGGTCGGACCCTGTGATTTTTTCCCTTTTTTAAGGTTTTTCACGTAAAAATTTTGGTGCCTCTTATAAATGTTTTACCCTCTCTCTTTCATCTGCTTTTGTGCTGGATCTTCGTACAACACTAAGATGTTAAACTATATAATTCTTTATCACTGTGAATATTCCAGGACACAACACTGCTATACCCAAATAGCCCCACCTAGATAATTCTCAACATATATTACTCCCTCTAATCAAGTCATCAATAGTCAAACTTTATTTGATTAACGACTTATTTATCACCTAATAACTTTTTTTCTCTGTATATTTGTATTTCTATACAAACGTTCTAGTTCTACTATACCACACAAATTGCCCTTGATTTTTAACTACCAAACTTTAATATATTTAATTTGATTGTAGAAAACTTAATCAAATAAAATTAAAAAAATAATGATAACCACTTGAAATGCAAAACTAAGTACCCGTAAGAAAATACCCAAAAAAAAAACCTTTAATTGTTGCTCATCTCCTCACATGAACCCACTAAACATATATGTTTATTTTGCTGCAAATGCTCTAAAACTGCTTTAATAACCCCTCAAAAAGTCCAGGGCCCTAAAATAAATAATAAAACACGTGAAACGGGTGCTAGGGCTAGGCGATTTTTTCTTCCCCTAGCTTCCTCTACGTTGTCCCGCCGTCATCGCCGGAGGGATCTATGGATCCCTCCATCTACTCCACCGCTTTTCCCCCCTTACCCACCTCCTCCTCCTCTCCTCTTCTACCTACTGGTTCCACCAACCCTTTGCCTTGGAACCGTGTCTTCTCTGAACCCCCGAATGCTAGCGAGTTCAACATTTCAACCTTACCCACACCGGATGAAATCATTGATTTTCCCACAGAAGACATCACTGACGAGGTAGAAGCTTACAACCCTGCACTAGTTGGTTATTCCTTCGGTAAAATACCATATTACGAAGCTCTTCTAAGTGCGGTAAAAAAATTGTGGAAGCTCAAAGGTAACATCCAACTGATCTCTTTAAGTGAAGGTTTTTTTCTGTTCAAATTCTCATGTGTTGAAGACTATGATATGGTTTGGACAAAGGGAGCTTGGTTTATTTTTGGTAAACCTTTCATCTTTAAGAAATGGACATCTCATTTTAGTCCTGAAAGAGAAGAGTATGCTAACGTTCCTATATGGTTTAAGATACATGATCTCCCACTCTGCTGTTGGACCCCCACAGGAATTTCCAAAATCGCAAAAGAAATCGATACTCCTCTGGCCGTTGACGCTCTCACAGCTAACAAAACCAGACTTACTTATGCTCGAGTCTGCGTTCAAGTCGATTCCTCTGCAACCTACCCTGCTTCCATCCCCATCACGGTTGAAGGTAAGCTCTTCAACCTGAGAATTCAATATGAATGGCATCCTATGATTTGCGATCTTTGCAAATCCTTTAACCACCAAGCACCTTCTTGCCCTTCTAATCCGAATCCCAAACCCACTCTTCCCCCTTCTGGGCCCCGCGGCAGAAGCACAAGCAGGCGTCCTAGACCTCCTTCTAACAGCCCAAAAGGTATCCTCCAGAACCCCAACATCAGCACTGCCCCTATACAAACTTCTCCTCCTCTAAATGACTCCATTCCTCCACCTGTCCTGTCATTCTTACCCTCTGCTTCTGTTATTTCAGAGCCAATTTCTTTCTGCCCCCTTCCCGCTGAAGGCAGCCAACCTTTTATTGGACCTTTAGCTGATATACCCAGCAGCAAAGACATTTCTCCTACATACCCAGAACCTGTGTCTATTCCAAACCTCAACTCCCCTACACAGCCATCCACTTCTTCCACCGAACTCCTCCCTCCTCAAAGAAATCCTCCTCTTCCTAAATCCTCTTCTCCTAATAAATTCTCTATTCTTCAGACTCTCTCTAACTCTGAATCCAATACCGATCCAGAGAATGCGACACAGACCCGTTCAACCAAAACTGATACTGAGACTTCCTCTCCTCGATCCAGTTCTAAGCTCAATACTTCTCAACCTAATACAGCAGCTCAATCGACTCGAAACACAAGGGGTAAAGGTGCCAAGAAAGGCACAATGTCTAAATAATTATCCATGTCTCTCCCAAACATACTGGTGTGGAACATCAGGGGTTTCAACAAACCTAATAAAGTTTTGTGTTGCCAAAAGGTGGTCCTGAATCACGACATTGACATTTTCTGTCTCCTTGAAAATCGTATTCTTCATCAACATCTTGATGATCCTTGGTTTTGTCAAACACATAAGATTTTTTACAATGAATTGAGCTGCCACAATTTTTATGCTGCAGACCCGGGTCGGATTGGGTTAAAATGGAATGCCAGCAAAGTTTCCTTCACTCCTGTTTTTGTCTCTAAGCAGGTTATTGCTGGAATATTGGTGTACTATGGTAATCTTCCCCCTTTCTTCTTATCAGTTGTGTATGCTGCAAATCATTTTGAAGAACGCAGTTTGCTTTGGGATGAACTTAGACAAATTGCTCCTATTCATGGGACGGCTTGGGCTGTGTTAGGAGACTTTAATTGTTGCAGATTCCCCTCAGAAAAGTCTGGAGGGAATGTCTTAAATACTTCAAGGTTGGCTCCTTTTAATTCCTTTATTTTTGATGCAAATCTAGAAGACCTACCTTCATCTGGTAACTTTTATACTTGGTTCAATCAAAGGGCTGATAATCTCATCCACATTAAACTGGATCGTGTGCTTATTAACGAAACTTGGATTTCTGCTTATCCTAACTCTTACTACAAAGTTTGTAACAGTCTGGTTTTAGAACACACACCTCTCATCCTCAAATCAAAGTTGGATAGATCAACTAGCAAAAGGTTTATGTTTAAAAACTTCTGGTGCAAAATTCCTAAATTTTGGGATATTCTTATCTCCATTTTTGCCTCTCCCTCTCAAGGTAACCCTATTAACTCTCTTTATCAAAAGCTTAATCTTCTGAAGAAGGAAATTAAATCCAAAAAATGGGCTTCCTCTAGCCATTTAGACATTAAATGTGCTGAAATTTCTGCTGTTCAAAATCAACTCCAACTTCAACTTGATACTAACCCTCTCAATTTCTCTATCTGCGGCCTTCTTAAGAAGATTAATTTGGATTTTGCCTTTTACAATTCTCTGAGGGCTAATTGGATCATTCAGAGATCCAAAGTCAAGTGGCTTACCAATGGGGAGGAAGATCTAAAATTTCTGTATTCTAGGATTCATAGAAGAAATTCTCATAACTTGAGTATTTGCACTCTTCTATTTGTAATAATGAAAGGCCTCATGCTTCAAACATTATGGGAATTGTTGATCATTTCAAAGAGCTATACAATTCCCCCAAGCCTATTTCCTCAAGCTTAAGCAACATTCCAAGTGGGAACCTGTTACCAGAACAAGCTATGACCTCTCTTATTTTGCTAGTTACAAATGAGGAAATACATGTGGCTATTAAATCTAGTTGCAACTCTTCGGCCCCGGGCCCGGATGGGTTCAATTTTGCTTTCTACAAGAATACTTGGTCAATTACTGGTCCAACGGTTTGCAGAGCAGATAAATCTTTTTTTCACCAAAAACTACCTCCTAACTAGGGCTAAAGAACCTGCTTTAGCTCTCATTCCTAAGAAGACTCATGCTGACACTATTCAAGATTACCGTCCCATATTGCTTTGTAATGTTTTTCATAAGATCATTGCCAAAATTCTTGCTACAAGAATGAAACCTTTTATGCAAGAAATCATACACAACAATCAGGCTGCTTTTATTTCCAATAGATTACCCACGGATAACCCTATTCTTGCAGCTGAGATTGTTGGTTACTTCAATAAGAGGCACCAGGATAAATTTTTTTATGCAAAGCTTGATATCAAAAAGGCTTTTGATACCGTTTCTAAGGAGTTTCTTTTTGATAGGATGGCCCAAAAGGGTTTCCCTCGCACTTTCATTCATTGGATAAAAGCTTGCATTAACGACACCTATTTTTCTATCTGCATTGATAGAAGTTTACATGGCTTTTTCAACTCCTCCTCTGGATTAAGACAGGGGTGTCCCCTTAGTCAGTATCTCTTTTTCATCATTATGGATGCCTTATCTTGTCTCATTGATGATCCTTTACAGCATTTTGAAGGATTCAAGATAGAAAATTTCCAGTTGTGCCACCTTACTTATGCAGATGATTTACTGGTTTTTGGGAAAGCGGATATTAACAATTATGAAATTCTCATGAAGATTATGGATCTTTTTGCCTCTCTCTGGTCTCCACCTCAATCTCAACAAGAGCTCTCTTCTTATTTCTCCCACTGCCAATAGCACCTCTCTCATTTCTCAAGCTCTCCACATTCACAACTGTTCCACCAAACTATCTTATTTGGGCTTACCTATTTCTATAGGCAGACCCAAGATTTCTGATTTCTCACCCTTGGTTGAAAAGGTTACTAACTTTCTTTCCGATTGGAAAGCAAAGCTACTCTCTTTTGCAGGTAGGATGCAGTACTTGAAGTATACCATTTCCAATTTGGTGGCTTATTGGATAAGGGGCTCTAATATCCCAAAAACCATTTTAAAAGCAATTGGTAAAGCTTGTAGCAAATTCTTATATCATGGAGATATTCATTCCAAACGTCTACATCTCATTTCCTGGAGTTCTACCACTAAACCTCTTTCTAGAGGGGGATTGGGCATTGCTTCTCTCAATGCTCTAAGAAACGCTTACAACTGTGGTACCATCTTAAGACTTTACAACAATGTCTCCCCTTTATCTAGTTGGTTCTTAACTAGGTACTCCTCACCGTGGAAGCCTTGCAATTCCTCCAGCTTTGCTCACTGGAAAAACATTTGTAACACTGCTTCAATGTTCAAAAATAATTTCTGTTTTCAAGTTTGCCCGAATAGCCCCATAGATTGTAACTGGGATCATTGGCTGCACAAAGAGAGTTTTTCTGATTTGTTTCCAGATCATGCCCCTTTTATCATTTCTGGAACGGATGGTACACTGGCTAGATGGATCTCTAATAACTCTTGGTCTCTTCCCACTTCTCTTAACACCAGCCTTAAAGATATTATTCACACCATTCCTATATCCCATTGCAGTCCTTATCACTTGACCTGGGATAGCAATGAAAATGCGAATTTCAAAGATTTCTATAATGAAAACTTCATTGACTCGGAAGTTGACTGGGTGCACTTAGTCTGGCACAAGAACCACTCAATCAAATATTCCTCTCAAACTTGGATTGCCATCAATGAGGGTCTGAAAACTGTAGAAGCTTTGAAACTTAGGAATATTGTTATTGAGGATATCTCTTGTCCTTTTTGCCATGGGCAGACAGAAAACACTAATCACCTTTTGTTTGAGTGTGATTATTCTTTTAATCTTATTACCCTGCTTATTCCTCAATTTCAACACTTTTATTTGAGACCTAATATTGGTCAAGCTTTACATTTTATAAATGGGTTAAACATGGATAAGGATACCATAAATGCCACTTTGCTGATTTTTCATGCTGCAATTTACTTCATCTGGAATGAACGAAACTCTAGGAAATTCAAAGGTAATGCTATTTGTGTTACTTCCCTTAAACGTAAAGTTACCGGGGCTGTTATTCTGAAGTTGAACAAATGGAAAAAGGGCTGTTTTTTGAAGCAAAAGCTAAACCTGTCTTACTGATGTTCTTTCAACTTGTTCGGTGCCTTGTTATTAGAATGAAGAGTAACACGAAATCTGATGGTTGGTTTTTTGGTTGGCTATCGTCTATGCAAATCTTATCATTAGCTGGTGGAAGTATTGGTTGTCTGGTAGTCAGTGGTTATTACTTCATTTTTTCTAAGAAAATTTTTGGTTGCCATTCTCGAATGTTGTTAACTATCCTCTGGTATGATGGGTGGACTTTTTTGGCTAGCAAATCTGTTGCTAGAATTTCCTTCTGCTGCTCGAAAATCATGAGAGAATTTATGTCCCGACCGACTCTAGTGACGCCCCTCTTTTTGGCAAGTTTTTGAGTCTTGGGCAATGATGTAGCCTGTTACCTCATTTTGAACTGTCTCCGGGCAACCAAAGGAGATTTGGATTTATTCTATAATCGTATCTACTATGCTGAGCCCAGACCGACAGAACTTATTCTGTCCAATTTTTTGTTTTTCTCTTTCCAACTTTTCTCTCATTTTATAATTATTGTTATAGGTTTTACTTTCTTAGCCTTTTTGTTTATGGATAAGTTTTTTTGATTCATTTTTGTAACCGCTTCTATTTTAATAGAATGGGCTATGCCCTCAATTCCCCCCCCCCCCCCAAAAAAAAAAAAACCCCCCCCCCCCCAAAAAAAAATAATAAAAAATAGAATGTTCACCGATGGTGGAATGGGAAAGGCCACCTTGTTTTAATCTCTATTTGTCTGCAAGCGATGAGCAGGCAAATATTTAATGAAAAGCAAGACAGCCTTTTATAGTATCCCACACGTTTGTTTGAATTAATGCAAAATAGTTTTTATTATTTAAGTATCATTAAAACTGTAGTAGTGAAAGGATGTGTCCATTCAGATGTTGTGTTTCAGTTTTTTTTTAAACCGTGACTTGTCCTATTTGTTTAGAGTGTTAAGAAAAAAAAGAACTATTGGTATACTCTTGTTTTCCTCTATTATATTATGCAAAGCCTTTTCTTTGTCTTTGTTTTTCTCCAATTTCTCCATTTTCTCCAACATTGTGGTATCAGAGCCCTATTTTGATTGAAGTGGGCGTCGAATTTCTGAATTGAAGTAAAGTTTTAGAAGATCTTGTGTATTCTTCTAAAAATAATGTGTGTGATTCTCATTCAAGAATTGTGAAAAAAATTTCATGGCAATAAGCACTTCTTCTCACCCTTTGATTCCCATCTTCAATGGTGAGAAGTATAAGTTTTGGAGTATTAAAATGAAGACCTTGTTTAAGTCACAAGATTTATGGGATCTTGGGGTGAATGGTGTGCAAATTGGAGAAGATGAAGGGAGAAATAATGATAACAAGAAGAAGGATTCAAAGGCTTTGTTTTTTCATTCAACAAGCTATGAATGATAGTTTATTTTCAAGAATTTCTATGGCAGAGATATCAAAGGAAGCTTGGGATATTTTGGAGAAAGAATTTCAAGGTTCAATAAGAGTAAAGAAAATAAAGTTACAATCTATGCGACATGATTTTGAAACTATGAATATAAATGAAGGAGAAGGTGCATGTTCAAACTTATCTCTCTCGGGTATCAACAATTGTGAACAAAATGCGATCATTTTGGGAGCAAATATCTGATGAGAAGGTAGTCTAGCTCTAAAGTTCTAAGGAGTCTTCCAACAAATTTTGAACATGTAGTGGTTGCTATTGAAGAATCCAAAGATATTGTTGTGTATTCTTTTGAAGAAATGATGATTCGTTGATGCCTCATGAAGAGAGAATAAATAGAAGATAATTGAAGACAGTTGAGAAGGCATTTCAAGTGAAGGAAACTTCAACTAGTTGCAACAAAGAAGGAGGTCGTGGTAGAGGAATAGGAAGTGCTTATAGAGGAAGAGGTGATCGTGGTGCTTTTCATGGAAGAGGATCTTATGGAGATAAAAGATCAAGTGGAGGTCAAAAGAAATGCTATTATAATTATAAGAAGTTTGGTCATATTAAGACAAATTGTTGGAGCAAACAAAGGAATCAAGAAAGGCAAAGATAAAGTTCAGTGTGATTTTTGTAAGAAGTTTGGACATTCAGAAGATAGATGTTGGTCCAAATAAAAACAAGCCAATGTAGCAGAGAAGACAATAGATCAAAATAATCTGTTTATGACACATTTTCATGCTGATTGTAGTAATTCAGAAATATGATTCCTTGATAGTGGTTGTTCTAATCACATGACTTGAATGAAGCCTCTTTTCAAAGAGATAGATATGTCAAAGAAATCAGAAGTCAGATTTGGTGACAATAATGTTGTTCAAGTTGAAGGCAAGGGGAGCATTATTGTTGGGACAAATGATGGCAAGGTAAAGCTATTACATGATATTTTGTATATTCCAAAACTTACACATAATTTGCTAAGCATTGGGCCATTAATTGATAGTGGGTATAAAGTTGAATTTGATGAAAAGGCTTGTAAAATTGAATACAAAAAAAGTAAGCAACAAATTGCAAGAATTCAAATGGCTCCAAATAAAAATTTTCCACTCAATATTTCAACAGTTCAAGAAAAAGTATTGATAGCCAAGAAAATATTTGATGCAAAATTATGATATTTTAGATATGGTCATTTATATATGAGAGGTTTGAAATTATTGCTTCAAAAGAAGATGGTTTATGATTTGCCTAAAGTGGACTATGATGGAATTTGTGAAGTTTGTGTTATGGGAAAGAAAGCTAG